TGTCTGGCTCTAGGTGAGTGATCACACCATAGTGATTATATGGGTCGTGACTAACTTTTTTGTATCTTTTTTGAATACACAGTTCTTTTGTGTATTCTTGCCACCCCTTCGTAATTTCTTCTGCTTCTGTTAGGTCCATACCATTTTTGTCTTTTATTGTGCCCATCTTTGCATGAAATGTTCCCATGGTATCTCTAATTTTCTTGAAAAGATATCTAGTTTTTCCTATCCTGCTGTTCTCCTTTATTTCTTTGCATTGATCACTGGGAAGGCTTTCTTGTCTCTCTTTGCTATTCTTTGGGACTCTGCATTCAAATGGATATATCTTTCCTTTTCTCCTTTGCCTTTCACTTCTCTTCTTTTCACAGCTATGTGTAAGGTCTCCTCAGACAGCCATTTTGCCCTTTTGCATTTCTTTTACTTGGGGATAGTCTTGATCCCTGTCTCCTGTACAATATCACGAACCTCCGTCCATAGTTCTTCAGGCACTCTGTCTATCAGATCTAATCCCTTTATTTCTCACTTCTCTTAGTTTCCTTTTTTTTTGGACATTGACATATATACACTACCATGGATAAAATAGATAGCTAATGAGAACCTACTGTATAGCTCAGGAAACTTAGTGCTCTGTGGTGATGGAAAGAAAATACAAAACAGAGGCTATAGATATATATATATGTGTGTGTGTGTATATATATGTACACACATATAGCTGATTGACTTTGTTGTACAGCAGAAATTAAAACAACATTGTAAAGCAAATATACTCCAATAAAAATTAATTTAAAAGACGCCCCATTTTTCTCTGATAATATTCCTGGACTTCTGGTCTATTTTATCTAATAGTATCATCTGCTTCTTGTGTTTGTACCTTTCATCCACTGACGTTTCACCCTCCCGGGTCCTCTCTGCTTAAATCCTGTCTCCTACAGACAGCGTACAGTTGAGTTCTCCTGTTTTATTAACCCCACGAATCTCTGCCATTTCGTTGCAATGTTCAGTTCACTAACAGCTGATATAGTTACTGATGTGACTGGATTTAGATCTACTATTTTATCTTTCCTCTTCTGTTTGCTTAAGTTTTTCAGGTGTTTTGCAGTTTCTGTATTTATAGAATTATTTGAATATTTTTAAAGGCTCTATTTCAGTTTATCTATTGGCATTTTATTTCCAATTCTTTGCATTATTTTGCATTATTTGCTCTAGAGATTATAATGACTTCCTTAACTTTCCTTAACAGTCTATTTAGAATTAAGGTTGTACCGCTTTTCAAAATAAGCAGGGAAAAAACCCTTGCACTTATATAGATCCATTTACCACAAAACCCTATTCCTTACAGTAAAGTTCCCATTTGAAAATCTGTATACACCTACATACATTTTAGACTATACAAGACAACGTTACATTTTTTTTTTTCAAACAGTCGTGGGTGTTCTAAATAAATTAGGAAGAGAAAAAAGACTTTAATGATATTTACCCAGAATTTTTATCATTTCTATGTGTCCTAATTCCTCTGGAAAGATTTGAGTTTCCAGTACTATCATTTCCCTTCAGTCTGAACAATTTCCTCGAGTTTCGGTCTGCAGGTGATAAATTCCCTTAGTTTCCTTTTATTGGAAAATTCTTTGTGTTAGTTCATTTCAACTATCCTTTAGCTCCTGTCTCACTCCTCCATGCAGCCTTCCTGGGATCTCTAGCACACAGGAAGCCCGGTTCTCTTTTATCCGCGTTGGAGGAAGTGTCTTTAACATAGCACCAAACTGTAGGAGGCTGAGAAGTCCACAGTCCACCCGCAGGACTGAGCGTTTGTGCATAACCAGTCCTCTTTCATCCCTCCCTCCTTCCCTTACCCTCTCTTTCTTCCTTCCCTCCCTCTCTCCAGATCCTGTTTCTTCTCAGAGGAAGAGAACCCAAACAGGGCAAGAAGCAGCGTGCAGCCGCTGCCGGGGGAGACCCCTGACTGACGGGGTCCCAGCCCAGCAGTGCACACTGCCCTCCGTGAACTGCCGGTGCTGCTGCCAGGAGCGCCGCCGTCACGGACAGGAGTTGCCAGCGCCCTGCGGACGCTGCCTTTGCCGCCGTGCCCGTTACCTTCTGGGCTCAGGGGGAAGGGGGCTGAGGACTGTGGTCCTCAGTCCTCAGCGGCCGCCTCCCCGCCGGGGGCCAGGCTGGGCTGTTTGGGCCCCTTCAAGGCGGGGCCTTGCCCAGACTGCACGAGGGGACGAGAGAGGTGGAAGAGCCGGCCTGGAGCTTATTCTTGGAGACCAGTTTGTTTGGGCATATTTGGTGGCAGTGGGATCTAGCATGATGAAGCATCCTAGTCTGGGCTTCAGGGACCTGCATTCCAACTCTGCCTCTGACTCCATCTCCCTGGAGACATTTGTGGAGTCTCTGCCTCTCCCAGTCTCTAGCGTCCATTATCTTGAGCAAGGGGTCAGCTTGTTCCAAGTGTTTATTTTTTATGGTCTGAAACTGTATCCCTTCCCTTTACCTCCTCAGCCAGGACTGCCTCTGTCTCTCCTGCCAGGGGAATTCTCGCTATCTGTAGAAAAGGATTCCCCAAGAAAAATATGAGAGGTCTTTAAGGAGGCCAGATTTTCCCTAACTTCATTTTTCCTGGTTTGCTCACTCATGGTAAGCCCAGGGCTCCCCAGCACCAGCAGAGAAGTTTCAGCCACGGCATCGATGGGTCTGTAATGAACCCTGGCTGTGGGTCCTTGATCAACTGCAGAATCGCTCTAAGGCTGTTTTCTTACCTATACAATGGAGAAAATAGTGTTGATTGCAGTGGGTTATTTGGAAGATTAAATGCAATAAGGCAGTTCAAGTCCTAACACAGTGCCTGTCACAGAGTAAACCTACAATGAATACTTTTATTATTATCATCATCAACGGCATTATTTACCACCTCCTCTAACTCTAGGCCTCCCCGGCAGCTCAGACAGTAAAAGAATCTGCCTGCAGTGCAGGAGACCTGGGTTGGATCCCTGGATTGGGAAGATCCCCTAGAGAAGGGAATGGCAACCCACTCCAGTATTCTTGCCTAGAGAATTCCATGGACAGAGGAGCCTGGCGGGCTGCAGCCCATGGGGTTACAGAGTCCAGACATGACTGAGCAACGAACACTTTCTCTTACTCCAGGGAAAGACCGCCTCCCAGAGTCTGAGAGAGCAGCTTGGCATGGCCTGATGCACGCACAGCTGAGGAGGTCTCTCCAACGAGAAGACCCCCAGCTTCTGTGCACGAGTCCTCTAGTGGTCACTGTGCCAGGCACCCAAGTGTCTTGCCAGGGTCTATCCATGTGCGCTGTTGTGGGAATTCAAAAGCTCCCTCTGCATAGCACGTGGCCCAGCGCCTGCCTGTAGCCCCCAGTGAACTGCAGCCGACGGGACCGTGCTCACTGCCGCCAGGGAGCTGCCTCTGAGCTTCAGGTGATGAGATGCGGGCTCAGGAGACACGGGCAGGAACTAACGGGCCGAGGACCTGAGGAAATTTGCCCGACCGCTCTGACCCTCAACTTCCTTGTCTGTGTGGTGATGGGTTGGTTCCACTCCCTGCACAGGGCTGTTGGGGGTGGAGTTACATGGTCACAATGCAGGGGTGATGATGCAGGGTGATCACAATGCAGGGGTGATGATGCAGGGTGATCACAATGCAGGGGTGATGATTGCATGAGCTGTAATCGCAGGCCAGATTGTGTGTCCCACAAGCTCCCCTCCTTTTCTGAGGAGCTCTGTCCTGTCCCTCTGTCAGGGTGGAGGAGGGAAAGAGACTGATAGCTGTGCTTTCTCCACCTCCCGCCCCCAGAGGCTTTAGCTCCAGGCTGCGCTTGGCTCCACGCGGAGTCAGCTCAACAGACAGGAAAGCTCACAAGGACGGGACACACGTAGATTTTTTTTTTTTTTTAATTAAAAAGAACATAAGAAAACATAATCACTTCCCACGGTGTGCTGTGATGCGGCATCACTGGTATGTAAAGCATGCACAAAAACAGGAAAAAGATCCCACAAGCTGCCTGCGTGGACCCCTCTGTGGCAGTCTGAAGCCCCTCCTGGGCTATGAAAAAGGAATCACTGATTCGCCCTTGTTTTTCTTGGAAGACTTAGCCACCTCCAGCTCACTGGTCCATGACGTGCACACAGGAAGTTGGGCTTTACAAGATTTTGCCAGTGGGCGGAGCAGGGGTGGGAGTTTGGGGTGCACACTCCTCCCTTCCCTGCCCGGCTCCTGGTCTCTGGGGCTGGGGAGGCAATCTCCCTCTGTGGGGGGAGGCTAGACACACAGTCCAGCAGGGGCAGGGATCTGGGCTCCCCCCTTGAGTAGGAGCAAAAGGAGTGTTGGCAGGTAAGTTGGACTTACCTGAATAAGTAAGAATAAAGAATAAAAATAAGAATAAAGACTTGGACCAAGATGAGATGTACCCAGGGCTGGTAACTAAATGTGATGGCTGGCTGGAAGGCAGTGGAGAGATTTTGATGTGTTTGCCATCATCACCTCGTCACACTGACTTTCCTTGTCTACTCAACCAATCCCTCCATTCCTGCTTCGGTTGGCCCAAACTTTGAGGGGAAACACCAGAACCTGCACCTGACTCCCTGCTCCACCACTTCCTAGTTTGTATGACTCTGGGAAAGTGACTTAACTCCCTCGAGCCTCAGTTTTCTCATCTGTTAAATGGGTAGATTCATATGACCCTCACAAGGTGGTTGGAAATAGAAAGTGAAATCATACCTTCAGAGAACCTCATACAGCACCTAGCACAGAAGTGCTCAATAAATGGCCAGGTTGGTTACTGTCATGCAGGCACCAACATTCCCACTGCAAAGTTGGTTGGGTTGTGTGGGTGGATATGTGATACACTCAAGGTTTATACAACGTTCCAGAAAACAGATGAATTCCTCTGAGCCTCCTCTGTGTGTCTGGCCGATTAGAGGTCTGGAGTACTGGCATGGAAGACCCCCGGCATGTCCGTCTGGCCTGGCTCAGGAGCTGCTGCGTTTCTAGACCTCAGTGCCCTCCCTGGGGTAGAGGACACTGTTCGTGTTGACGCTCCCGTAGAAGGGGGGGTTGAATTGGTTGAGGACAGAGCCCCCGTAGCCCAGAGCGTTGCTGGGCATGGGGCTGGCCCACTCGCCCCCGCCCACAGGGCTGCTGATGTTGGTGAGGGGGGTGTAGGAGCTGAAGCTCAGTGAGTTCTGCCCCACCTTGTCAGCAGGCTCCAGGCTCAGTCCCGGCGTGCTGGCCGCGGGGCGGCCCAGGGGACTCGGCCCGCTCACATAGGCTGACATGGTCGAGAGGAAGCTGCTGAGGCATGGGGTGCCTGGCGGGGGCGGCGTTGGCCGCTTCTCCGGGGAGCCGGTGGGGCCCGGTGCAGCGCCGTCCACGATGTCCTGGGCCTCTGCAGTCTCGGGGCTGCCTGCCAGGAGCCCAGCCTCCGTTTTCTCTGGGGCCAGGGAGCCCGTGCTGGAGGAGACGTCTGATTTTCTCTTCCTCTTCCTGCGGAAATTTCCGTTGTCGAACATCTTCTCACAGTTGGGGTCCAGGGTCCAATAGTTCCCTTTGCCTGGCACAGGGGCAGGAGAGGGTGAGTACAGAGATGGAGCCAATACTCTGCCCCCGTTCCTCCCTGTCTGTCAGATGCTAAAACCAAAGGTAACAGACGCAGAAAGGCAGAGAAGAAGACAGGAATGCCGCAAACTCACCATGCATCACACCACACGGATCTTTCCTCAAGCACCCACCTCACACCTCGGCACACTCGGAGTGCAGAGAGGCCTGACCCACGAAGGAGTTTACTGTGTGGGCTCTTCTAGAGATGCAAATACTGGGGCCAAGGCGAGGGAGGGGCTTCTTCCATTGCTGATGGGAAAGACAACTCAGGGAGAAACAGAGGGCTTCCTGAAGGTCCTGAGCATGAACTCCGAGGGTGGACTTGAGTCCCAGCTTCAGATGGGGGCCCTGGGGTGAGCCTGGGTTTCCTAGTCTGAGAAGTGGGCCCACTGGGCCTGCCCCTTCTTCCTCAGGCTGGCTGTGAGAGAGGGCTAATGCTAGACATGTGAAAGGGGCTTTGTCCCTGGGAGGGACAGTCTGCACCCTGCCTGCCACATCTCTCAGCCTAAGGGTGAGGCCAGCCATTGGACGCTCGCGTTCCTCTGTAGGACCAACAGTCCTGCCTTCACAACCCTCAGAGTGGGTGGGCGTGGGTTTCCTCTCAGAGGTATGCTGGCTTCCTATGGTGTGACGGGAGTGCACTTTGATTCTGGGAAATGGATACATGAGTATTTAATATATTACTCTCTGTACATTTCTATGGGCTTCCCTGGTGGCTTAGATGGTAAAGAATCCATCTGTGATGCCAGAAACCTGGGTTTGATTCCTGGGTTGGGAAGATCCTCTGGAGAAGGAAGATCACCGGGAGAAGTAATCTTGGCAGGAAAATGCCATGGACAGAGGAGCCTGGTGGGCTATAGTCCACGGGGTCATAAAAAGCCTGACATGACTGAGTGACTAAGCACACACATCTCTAAGTTCTAGAAACTACTCCTTATAAAGGAACAGCTCACACCCTGGTGTGAGAGGGGCCTCCATTCAGACACTTGCTCCCACAGTCACATCCTTCTGTATCACCCTAGGCAGGGGGCTTCACCTCTGGCTGTTATTTTCCTCAACCGATAAAATGAGGATAATAAGAGCCACCCTGCAGGGCTTGATTAAAGAAGGCGATGTGGCCAAGGCAGGCAGGCGGTGTCATGTGGCCCCGAGTGGCTGTCCCACGGATGTCTGGTCCCTCCCCGGGGGCCTGGAGCGCACGCAGCGTTGTGTAGTTCCAGCAGTCACCACCCCCACCCCCACAGGAGTCCCCCCACGCTGGATGCTGGGGTCTGAATCAATGGTCACAGTCACTGCAGCCCATGGAGCTTGTGTCAGCACCAAACACCTCGTGTGCATCACCTCGTGAGCCCACTGCCCACAAGCCTGGCAGATTGACTATTATCCTGGCCCTGAGTTTCAGATGGGAAAAGCGAGGCTCAGAGGTCACTCAGAGTTCAGCGGCACATCTGCCTGCAGGGTCCACCTTTACAGCAGACTCCTTCTGCCCACCGCCCCTCCACCCCCGGCCTCGGGGTGCGGCAGGATCCCTGCAGGGCTTCCTAGAATGGGGTGTCGGGAGGACTGAGCCTTCCTCGGGGGACCACCCCACACCCACAGCCCCCTTACCCGGGTCATCCTCGTCGCGGGGCACCTTCTTGAAGCAGTCGTTGAGAGACAGGTTGTGGCGGATGGAGTTCTGCCAGCCGGCCTTGCTCTTGTTGTAGAAGGGGAAGTTGTCGGCCACGTACTGGTAGATCTGGCTGAGTGTGAGGCGCTTGTCGGGCGCCCCGTGGATGGCCATGGCGATGAGCGCCGAGTAGGAGTAGGGCGGCCGCACCAGCTTCATCAGCTCCTCCTGCGAGGGGAGCGGCAGCCAGCCCAGGTCGCCGGCCCCCAGCGCGGGCACGCCGGCGGGCAGCAGCTGCCTCTGCACACCGCCGTAGGCCTGGGGCAGGAAGGGGCTGCTGCCTGGCAGGTAGGGTGGCGGGGTCACGGCTGGCCCATTGAGCCAGAGGTAGGGGTTGGGGGTGGCCCCATACTCCCCGCCACCCTCGAAGGAGGGGGGCCGCTGCGGGCTGGGCGCGCCCTGGGGGTGGAAGAAGTTCTCGTAGTAAAGGCTCATCTCGGGGGGCTCCTGGCCGAGGCTGGGGAACTGGGGGCTGCAGCGGGGCGGGGAGGGCGCCGGGAGGTCGAAGGAGCTCATGCTGGGCCGGGCTGGCCGCCGCCACCTGCCGGGGAGCTGGCCCTGCCAGGTGCAGCAGGCCCCGCTTATACCGGCCGGCCCCACCCCGGGGCGTCGCCGCCGGCCCGCCCCGCCCTCGTCCCCCGGTGGCCCGAGGGCCCTTCCCCGCGGCCACGGCCACGGCGGCCCGAAGGACACGCCCGGCCGGCTTCCCGGCTGCTAGCAGCGAGGACACAGGCGCCCCTCTGCCTCCTTGCCTCTTTCCTTCCTTCTCCTGCTGTCTCCCCGTCTCCTCATCACCTGGCCCCTGCTCCTCCTCCTGTCTGTCTGTCTGTCTCTGCTGCCCTTTCCCCTTTCTCTCCTTCTGAACTGTCTGCCCTCCCGCTTTCCTGGGCTCTCCTGTATCCTCTCAGCAAATCACCCTTGGTTCCTCTCCTTCTCTCTGGCATGGAGCTGTCCGCGTTTCCCTCCCTGGCAGTCCCTCTGTCTCTCTGAGCTTGTTTCCAAGTCTTTCTACCTCCATCTCTTTCCTCTCAAGTTCTCACCGTCTCTGCTTCTCCCCTGCTTCCTTTCCTCTACGTGTCTGTCTGTCTGTCTGACATCGTCTCTGTGTCTCTTCCCCTTCCCCTCCGTCTCCCTCTTCTTCGCATCCTGACCCCTCACCCAGGCTGGAGGAGACACTTCATCAGAAGCCACAGTCTGAGGTTTTTTGAAGTGAAGACACATTTTCTGGAGTTTCCAGGAGAGAAGCTGGCTCTGGAGAATCAGAAGAGCCTCTGGCCAGGTTCAAAAAGGGCAGTCAATTATGGGTGACCTCCCTACACACACACACACACACACACACACACACACACACACACAGACACACAGACACACACACACACACAGACACACACACACACACAGACACACACACACAGACACACACACACACACACAGACACACACACACACAGACACACACACACACACACACACACACAGACACACACACACACACACAGACACACACACACACAGACACACACACACACACACAGACACAGGCAGAGAAAAGGCAGGCAGGTAGAGAAAGACCTGGGGATTCTCCCAGAGTGGCAGCAAGGCTCATAAAAATAACAACAAAAGGAAGAGTATATGAATGGGACCACAGGAAAGTGAGAGAGAACTTGTATTCTCCTGGTTTCTTTCTGGCTGCAGGGACAAAGCAGGCTCTGGTTCCTTATCTGATCCAAGTCCTTTCGTGTTTCGGCTTGCAGAGTCCCCCAGGACCCGGCGGCTGAGGCCAGGAGGAGAACCCTGTTTGGGCCACTCTTCTTCCCCAGCCTGCTCCGCCTTGGGCTCCAGAAGTAGGGGCCCCATCCACACTGGTTCCTTTGCGCTTCGTGGTCAGTCTGTCCACCTCCCTGGGCTTCGTTCTCCATACGCTGCTTGAAGGGGACTTGTCTCAGCTGCCCCTTCATCCCGGGGCAGGCCCTCAGTTTGGGCAGTGAGTGGGTCCCCCTTCTCAGAGCGCAAGGAGCTGCCCCTGAGCAGGTTCTAGCAGCACCTGGAGACTTCTCTCTGGGGTCAGAAACGGGAGAAAAGCTCACGTCGATCTCTCTGGTCACCAGCTCCCTCCGGCCCTCCTGCCTCTACATCCTTCTCCACTTTCAGCTTCCTCTCACTTCCTGCAGACCCCATATGTCTTTAAGGCCAAAGAGAAAGCTGCTTTACTTGCTTGCTTTCTCTCTTTTCCGGCCGTGCCAGGGCTTTCTCCAGCTGCGGTGAGGGGCTGCTCTCGTTGCTGAGTGCGGGCTCCAGAGCGCAGGCTCAGAGGCCCTGAGGCCAGAGGCCCAGAGGCCCGGGGCCCGCAGCACGTGGGATCTTCCTGGACCAGGGACCGAACCCGAGTCCCCTGCCTTGGCCAGTGGCTTCTTAACTCCTGGATCCCCAGGGACGCCCGTAGAAGGCTGCTTTCTGCCCCAGCCGCAGGGTCCTCCCTCTCCTCCACATCAGGTTCACTCGGAAAACCTAAGTACCATCTAGTGAATCTCATTATTGACATCTTGGTGCCCAGAGGATGATTTGGGTGCCTGAGTGGGATAGGTCCTTCAAGGCTTGAGGAACCGCTTGTCCTCACCTTGGACAGTGAATGAGCTGTGGGTCAGAAAGGGCCTGATTGACCAGGCGAGGCTTGGGAGCAGCACCTTTGTCCTTTCTTTCTGGAGAGCAAAGAGAAGGGGGCCACAATTTTGTTTCGAGTTTCTCTACCTGGCTTGCTGAGGGCAAGGCCCTGAGTTTTTACAGGACAGTCACACTGGAGCCCATTAAGACAGACCCAAAGCCTGGCAATGAGCCTGGCGATGTCACTTCTGATCATTCATCCTGCACAATAAAACAGAACAAGAATTACCAGCACAGCATTATTTATAGTTGTAACAAGCTGTAACTAACCTGAATGTCCAACCATAGGGGATTGGTTTTTTAAAAAAAATGAGTATTTTCTGAATGATGAAATAATATGCAGCTATGAAAAATA